CGGCCTCCCAAAGTGCTGGGATTACAGGCTTGAGCCACCGTGCCTGGCCTGTTTTTTTGTTTTTTAACAGAGATGGGGTCTCACTATGTTGACCAGGCTAGTCTCAAATTCCTGGCCTCAGGTGATCTTCCCATCTCAGCCTCCCCAAGTGCTGAGATTACAGGCATGAGCCACTACACTGGACCATCACTGTTTGTTTGTTTTGTTTTTAAGAGAAGGGGCCTTGCTTTATTATCCAGGCTGGTCCCAAAGTCGTGGGCTCAAGCAGTCCTCCTGCCTTGGGTTCCCAAAGTGTTGGCGATTATAGGTGTAAGCCACCATGCCCAGCCTATTCTCTTTTGTAAAATGAGAATATACTGTTTTACTCATTTAAGTATTATGAGGATTAAGATGTGTACAAGGTGCCTAGTACAGTGCCCCACATGTGTAGGTACACAGTAAATGTTAGATGCTTCCCCTAATCCTGTTGTAGCAAATTCTTGCTGTTCTTTCTGCATCAGACACATCTCAGTCTTGGTAACCTGTAACATTGCTGACCTCAGGGATGTAGGTATATTAGATGTCCTCTGATTTCTGTTTGATAATATTCTCCATTAGTAAAAAGTAATTACTTTGTTTATAGTATTTTATTTTATGTTTTTTGAGACAGGGTCTTGCTCTGTCACCCAGGCTGGAGTGCAGTGGCGTGATCTTGGCTCACTGCAACCTCTGCCTCCTGGGTTCAAGCAATTCTTCTGCCTCAGCTTCCCAGGTAGCTGGGATTACAGGTGTGTGCCACCACACCCAGCTAATGTTTGTATTTTTTTAGTAGAGATGAGGTTTCACTATATGTTGGCCAGGCTGGTTTCGAACTCCTGACCTCAGGTGATCCACCTGCCTTGGCCTCCCAAAGTGTTGGGATTACAGGCCTGAGCTACTGTTCCTGGCCATAGTATTGATTATTATAGGTAAATAATTCACCTCAGTGTCAGGCCAGAGAATACTAAACCTTTTTCTCTCTCTTGCCTTTCCTCCCATCAACTAGATAAAATTTCAAACTAGCCGGGCACGGTGGCTCAAGCCTGTAATCCCAGCACTTTGGGAGGCCGAGGCGGGTGGATCACGAGGTCAAGAGATCAAGACCATCCTGGTCAACATGGTGAAACCCCGTCTCTA